AGAAACTTTCCTATCTAAACGAAATATAATGAACTAATTATTACTTCTTGAGAAGGCTATAGTATGGATTTCAAGTGTGTAATATCAGATTGTGTATTTTACTGTGCTGTTCTGTTTATGTACATGTACCTCTTATTTTTCCATGATTAAAACAAGGGTGTTATGATTATCTGAGTATGATCTTCAATTACAATGTTCGTCAATACAATTTCTCCTTTTCGATCAGAATATACAAAGTATAAATATAATCACTAGTACATGGGTGCCAATAGATTTATTACTGATATAGGCGCTAAGTGCATGAGCAGCTTATTTTTCAAAAGCTTCTGTCTCCAACTGTGTTGCTTCATGAGTGAGTTGCAGTGTCAAAAGACTTTGCCTCTTAAGCCTTTAAGACTAGTTTGAGTTTCGTTCTTTTTCATCTATTTCCGTTTTGAGTTTTTCCGTTTCTTCCTGTGATCTCTCTAGGTCTTCAATTTCGTCGTCCAGAATTGTTTTAAACCTCAGTTCTTCCTCCTTTGTAGACTTGATGCAAATATCTGTAGTTCCTAGTTGAGCTTGAAGCTCTGAAATGACAGCGTTAGCTTTAATAACTCGTGATTTTACACTTGATAATTGGGCTTGCATTTTTCGAGTTCATCGATTAATAGCTGGGAAGCTAACCACGATCGTATAGCTGCTGGGAATTTACTTAATCATGCACAACAGAAAATAAAACAATTTTAATTCCCACCAATTATCTGCTTTGTGCTTAGAGAGAAACTGCGATTGAAATTATACATTTGATGAATTGTGTAAACTCCTTTGCTGATTCTCGAACACAGACTGCAATTCACAGCTATTCAATTGTCCAACATTCAATGGAAATCCACATAGGGAACAAGATTGAGAGAACTAGGTTTTTACCTTTTTGTCCAATTGTCCGGCCTCCAATAAAAATCCACATAGGGAACAAGATTGAGAGAACTAAAGTTTTTACTTTTCTTGTATTAGCAAGAATAATTATTTTTCTACTACTGTTTCAAAACCCTAGCAGCCTATTAATACAAGTTCAAACGGACTTGGCCAATCGCTTAACTTAATCCGATCCAATATTTAATTAATCCAATTAATTAATTCGGGCGTATTAATAAGCAACTAATCTCCTTTTGTGTGTGACCCATTAGATTCTCAATCACGATGCCTAACGACGTGAATTATTCTTTTGATTTAATTAAAATCGATAAATTAAAACATCCCTTTTAATTTATCACT